TTAGGAATGATGTACATTCCCAAAGACGTTGTTTCCATGTGAAAAGACTAATTTGCCCTTGGAGGCCTGTTCGGTCTTTTTCTGATCTTTCGCTTCTACATTATTCTCGTTGAGATCTGTGGCCTCATGGAATGTCACTTTAACTTCTTAGAGTCTTGTTTTCTATTTTTGCTTCCGCATTTAGATCTGTTATCGGGTCAATCTTCGGTTCATCACAGGACGCACTGGCTTGAAAAACCAAGGCTGTCACAATTCATCCCAAACGGCCCAAATGACCCTAGAAAACCTAAAGCCCATCCAATCCTCATTAGAAGTCAGTTCTTCTATAAAAGGAGGCACAAGGCCACATAAAACCTCTTTGGTTTTGCTCTGAATTCTCTCTTAGATCTAGTGGCCGCTTTTAGGGTTTTGGAAGTTACTCTGAAGCATTAAAGGTGAAAATCCTCAAAAAAGAAGTGCAGTCCATGATGATGAAGACTACAACAACACAAATGATATCTTGCATCGTCATGAGTAGCTAATTCCTCTTTTAGGGCATTGATGTAGTCTGAATCTAAGTATTATGGTTTGATTGCTCTAATTCCTCTATTATGGTTTAATTGATGTAACCCGAACCTCATCGTATGCACCCCTAACCTATTGTATAGAGAGAAAAGATATACTAAAGGGAAGGGAAGCGCACATTAACTTAAAACAAGTAAAGCATTAAAATAGTATACACCAAGCATATATATATAAAACAGAATAAATTAATTAAGGCGGTGTATAACCGACCAAGATTATATATATATATATATATATATATATATATATATATATATATATATATGAGTAGAATAACTTAAATCAAACTGATATTAAAACAGAAAGTAATTACAAAAGATTATAATAACTGAATATTAATAAAATAACTTACAAACTGATATGTTACTAGTAGAAGGTTGTATACAGCATACTGGATGTATTACAACAGAAGAAGGAAACTGAATTGAATATTACAAACTATGAAAGCTGAAGCCTGAATTCTCTCTGAAACGAAGCCTGAATGAAGCCTGATGAGCAATGGGACTGACTACTGCATTTATAGGCGAGGCTAGAGACATTTGAGGCGTAATTTCCGGCTTTCAAAAAGTAACTTTTGACTTTTCGGACTGCTTTTAACTGTTGGTAAATAGTGAGTTACTGTTCCTGTCGTTTGTGCCGACGGTTACTGTAGATAAATAGTTCCTTGTCGGGAATAGTGATTCTGCCGACAGTTACTGTAGAAATAGTGACTTCGGGCCAAACCAAGTTTTTAACAGAATGGATCATCTTGGTATGGGTCTTGACTATCCTGGAATACAGGGTCATCATATAAATTAACTGGGTGACTAGACTTAGCTGCAGAAGATGCATCATCAGCGTCTTCTTCTTCTTGTGATAACTCTTGGAGGCGATCAGTTAAGGAAGCAGCCATTTTCTTGAGTTCTTCAATCTCCGACTTGGGAGTTTTCTTGGACTTGGAAGTGTTTACAGAAAAGGGCTGTTTGGGCTGAGTTACTTGTTGTGCTTGTGAAACTGCTGTGACTGGTGTTGGTGACTACTTGGAAAAATCTCCCTCAATGTAACCAATGATTCTGTCAATTTGAAAGGCGTCCCACCATTTAACATAGTGACAACGGATAACCATGGTTCCTTGGACATCATATTGCCATTTAAATATCCATGGAACTTTGTATTTGCAGGAGAACACGAGGAGAATAGGGAACTGAGAGTTGTATTTGTTAACTTTGTAAACTGTGTGAAAGTACTTGATTTGGTTTACAAGATCTAGGGGCAAGATCTCAGGAATGGAGCCATACTGAGACCACCATTTAACAAACCAAGTAGGAATTTGGGCTTTGTAATTGAATTAGTTATCAAAATTGAGAAACCAGGAATAAATGAATGACTCATTTTGGTGAAGCGTGATGAGAAACCAGGCATTCATGTAATAATGGTAATTAAATACATAATCATTATCAGGTAATGGTTTGCATAAAGCAGGGTGACTACCCCATTCTTCTAAGGACATGATTTTTTTATATATATATAAAGAATGGTAGAGTACCTTTTTCTTATCAGTTTTATCAAAAATTTGGTTAATACGGATGGACTTTGTGGAATACAAAATATTTTTGTAAAATTGGAGTGACTTGAAGGGTTGACTGGAGCAATAATGAATGGGGTCCTGTATGTGACTAAGAGAGGGTTCAATGTAGAATAAGGGAGAAATAGGTTTTCCCATGTAGTTACTGGGTGATTTGGCAGTGGTTCTTGGTGTAGGTGATTGGGGGGAGCTTCTAGTAGTAACTTAGAAAGGATCAGGTGCAGGAGCAGACTTGAAGGATGGTAACTGAGAAGGAAGTGGTTGAAATCTGTTAGAGACAACCAAAGTAGAGGATTGCTGTAACTGGGTTTGTGATCTGGTGACTGGGGTTTTGCTGGAGCAAATATCAAATGGTCTAACTAATTGGGGCCTCTAGGGAGGCTGTCGGTCTGCCATCAGATTTCTATAAGAATTCCCTTGTAAGAAAATCTAGAATAAAATTGTCACTTCCTTTGATATATTCCATATCAAAATCAAATATACTTAATATAGCTTGCCACCGGGTAAAAATCTGTTTAGAAGCAATATTTTCAACATCTTTTTCTAAAACATATTTTGCACTTTGACAATCAACTCTGATTAAAAACTTTTGATTTAAAATATCATCTTGAAATTTACTAATACATAAAACAATAAATAAAATTTCCTTTTTAATAGTACTATAGTTACTTTGTGCTTTTGTCCAAACACCAGAATGGAAACGAACTAATTGTTCAGGAGCATTTGGACTGACTCGTTGCTTGAGGATGCCACCATATCCAATATCAGAGGCATCGGTTTCAATTATTTTGAAAGAATCAGTAGTTGGAATACCAAGACAAGGCAATGACTTGACATAATGCTTAATGGATTTAACTATATCAGTATGAACAGAGGTCCATGGAGGATGGTTACTTTGAAGGTGATCAAATAGGGGCTTGCATTGTTTGCGAAGATCTTTGTAAAAATCAGCAATGTAATTTAGAGACCCCAAGAATCGCTATAATTGTGATTTTTCTAAAATTTGGTCTGGGAATTTATCAGCAAATTGAAGAGACCTATCAATAGGGCGAATCTGGCCTTGATAGATATTGTAACCAAGAAACCTGATGTTAGTTTGGAATAACTTGATTTTTGTAGCAGAAACAACAAGACCATTTTTTTGAATTGTTGCTAGAAACGATTTCAAATGTTTCCAGTGTTCATCAATGGACTTGGAGTAGATAAGAACATTATCAATATAAACAATGGAAAAGTGACTATAAGGATTGAAAATATCATTCATGATATTCTGGAATTCACTAGGAGCATTTTTCAATCCAAAGGGCATTACTTTCTATTCATAATGACCAAATGGAGTAGTAAAGGCAGTTTTGTACCTATCTTTCTTTCGAAAGCGAATCTGCCAAAATTCTGACTTCATATCAAATTTGGAGAAAATAACTGCTTGACTGAGGCGGTTGATAAGATCTTTCTTATTGGGAATAGGGTACCTAATCCACTCTAAGACCTTATTTAAGGGTTTGTAATTAATGACTAAACGGGGAACACCTCTTTCGATTTCAGAGTTTTTCTGAACATAGAAAGCTGGACACGACCAAGGTGACTTACTCTTTTTAATAATCTTCTTGTGTAGAAGATCATTAATTTCTTTTTTACAGAATTCCATGACTTCAGGACTCATTTGGATAGGCCTTGCCTTAGTGGGAATATGCCTTCTCTTAAATCCTTTAATGTAAGGTAACTTCACAGAATGTCTCTTTCTGTGCCAAAAAGCAGTTGGTAGATCAGAACAAACTGTATTTTTAATTTGTTATTCAAAATCTTAAATTTTTGTTTGGAGGACTAGATCAGTTAACTGAACATCAATTCTTTTGTAATTGACTTCTTCCTTTAAAAAACTCAACTGTTGAGTTTTATTATGTAACAAGTTTAGTGTTTTCGAAACAGAAGAATCGATAACTGATTTTAACTCTTTTTTGGAAGGGGGACTAAGAAACTGGAACTGGACTTCATGTCCAAAAGGTCGAGTAACTAATCCTTCATCATTAGTAGTAAAGGGATAGAGGAGGTAGATGAATGGAATTCCTAAAATGAGCTTGTCAGTCATATTTTTGACCAAGACAAAGGATGTTTTGAAACATACATTGTTTTGACAAATATGAGCTTTAAAGAGCTTGTATTTTATGTCCATTTTACTACCATTAGTTGAGCTTAGCCTTTCAGAGGTTTTCTCATAATATTTGGTTGGTATAAGACCTTCCTGAATACAGTTAAGATCAGCTCATGTATCAATCAAAGCAATGACTTCAAGTTTGAAATCTTTGTTGATGATAAGGGTAACTTTAGTATACCATCTCTAGAATGAGATGTGATTTAAAATTTGGAGTTTGTTAGAAGATTCAGAACCAAAGGGGTTTAAATGTTTTGATTTTACTGAATGAGTAGAAGTTTCCTCACTAAAGGAGTCAGAAGATTCTTTTCCTATAAAAGAAAAAGCAGGATTTTGTTTTAATTCCTGAATATCATTTTTGGTGACTTGGTGATCTGTCTTGAGATTTTTAATCTCAGTTTTTATTATGTTAATTTCTGTTTGCAAATCTTGGATAGTGACTTCTTTAGGTTTGTTATTAAACCTTTCTAAAGTTTTATATAGACTAAAATTGGGCTTACTAATTGTTGGGGCTTCAGGTTCTGAGTTACCTAATAACACCTTAAGTTTTTTAAGATATAAGGTTTTTAACTCAGGGTCATCTACCTTACTGCTTAAATCAATAAGTAAATGTTCTTGTTCATCATTTTTTATGAGAATATTAAGTGACTTATCAGGATTGCAGCAACTATCTTTACATCCTAGTGTAATATTGGGAGCACTAGGAGAAGCATCAGATGACTAGGAAGAGGAACCAACTTCTGGATCACTACTACTATCATCAGTGTCTTTTAACTGGAGAATTTGGTAAATGGATTCTTTAATTTCATTAGGGATTTGTAACTGATTGATCTTTATCTTTGCATAACAATCCTTTGCAAAGTGACCTAGACGACCACATTTGTGGCATTTAACCTTACTAGCATCTGTGGTAGTAGGGTTATTCTTTCTCTTGAAGCTCTTTTTCTCAAATTTGTTTTTAGGTTTAGGCTTTTGAGAATAATATTCATTTTTTGGAAAGACTGGTTTCTTATTTTTGTAGTTCCTACGGTAACTTTTGTAACTCTTCTTGTGTGATTTGGGATTTTGGCGAGAGGGAGCTATGGGTGGAAGACCATATTGTTCACAAAAGGTTCCCATTTCATATTTAGCTCTTTTCCTATCATCTTGTAACTGGTTACTAATTTTCATGTCAATACACATCCTTAATCCTTCCTTTTGGATTAAGCTGATGATATTGCCATATGTGAGATTATCATAATCAATGTTACCTGTAGCTTTACTAAAGGTATCTCTAATCTTGTGAGCAAAGAGGTTAGGTAACCCATTAATGAATTTTTCTTTCCAGAATGGTTTGTTACTATCATCTCTCATCATAACTCTAGATAAGAATACATCTTTATACCATCTGAAATCACTCATGGTTGGGCAAGAGAGATTTGTAAGTTGGTCATGTATTCTGGAGGTGATGTTACTTGGAGTGCCTATAAAATGGTCAACTATGGTATAAACAAGAGTATTGACTACATCAGGAATAGCACGACCTATGGCTTCATCAAAAATGGGAAGACCATCATTGTCTTTTTTAATAGCATTTTTTATTTGTGTTCGAGAATCTTCAGTTAGATGTTTCTCCCACCAAGATTTTAACATCCCTGAAAATCCTGAAGCTAGCAGATCAACTATTTCGGGTTGACTAAGATTATGTGTGGTAACATAATTATTAGCCACCATGGAAATATGACTGAGTTTATTAAGAATTTCTTGTTCTGATAAACCATCAATATTCCATTCATAGAGTTTATCAGAGGAGACAGAAAATTGATTTTGAATATTTCTTTCTTCATATTGAAGATCAGGAGGTGTCGGTCTAGGGTACCAATTTTTGGTAAGACTAGTTGGGTTGACACGTTTATTGACTAGTCGATTAATCTCGAGATTAGAAAAAGCATGTTCAATTTGTTGAATATCAAAGGGGTAACTAGAGGTAGAAGAAAGACTATCAGAATCATCAGTATTATTGATGACAATGAGTGTTTTAGCTTCTTTAATGGCTTTGCCTTTCTCCATGGTTTTGAGAAGAGTCTCAATCTAGAGAATGACAGATGGATCAGGAAGGGCTTTGGGAAGGCCTTTTCGCTGTGTAGGCATAGAAATAATTGGTGACTCAAGTGGGGTGGAAGTGACAGGAGGAATAGAAGACTGAGTAAGGGAAAGCTCAATCTTATCAAGTTGAGTCCCAATAGTATGCAAATATTGATTGGTAAAATTGTTTTGTTCAATTATCTTTTGTGTGTCATTATCAGTGACTGTGGTGGTGACCTTTAAAGGAGAGGTAGGGATTTCTGTTCCCATATGATCTAAAGTTATGGAATCTAGTGGAGGATGGGAAGAAGAAACTATTGATTTATCTAGTTTTTTCCCCTTGACTTTGGTTATTACATTGACTTGATTATGATAATTTTCGAGATAATTAAAAAATTTGATTTCTATTCGATGATCTATCATAAATCTTTGCCAATGTCGGAGAACTTTATTTTGTTCTTTCTCAGAATGTGACTTTCTGAAGGTTTTCCTTTTAAGCTTATTTTCTGGGGAGGAATATTCGTCATGTAACTTGGAGAGATTATATTTAAAAGGTTTACTAATAGTATTTAGAGAAGGATCTATTGGGTTTATGTTTCCCAAGAAATCAGAAGGGGAAGGGGAATTAGGTGCAAACTGAGACTTAACAGTAACTGGAGGAGTTCGCTCATAGCAAGGATGACTAATTTGTTCTTCAATGTGAATGTCTTTTAACTTAGTGTCCTTAGACGGAGGATTAAGTTTTGAATTCTTTCTTGCAAGAGGAGGGATCGAGTCACTATCTTTGTCAAGATCTAGTCTGGAGGAAGTAGAAGGACGAGAGCAAGTCAGAAGGCGTTGTTCATCAAAGCTTATTCTAACTGTTCCGTCAATATATTCCTGGACTCTATCAAGACTACAGATATCATTTTGTATTTTTACTGGATGATTTTCATTCTCAAGAAACCACTCATTTGGTAAAGAAATATCTTTCCAAGCAATAGTTTTCTCTAGTTGAATATTAGCATCAGCAGAACTACTTTCAATTAATAGAATATGTCATTTAGCATCTTTCTTCATTACTTTGATGTTGAGATTGGTTCCTTTTGTCTTATAGTAAACTCGATATATAAGACCTAGAGGTTGTGAACCAGGGAGCATTTTGTAACCAGAAGTTTTAATATTAAGGGTTAAGGCTTTCAATAAATGAGGATTAGTTAGACTGAGGGTTAGATCTGGGTAGCAATTAAAATGAACTGGACCATTACAGAGACTGGTTTCGACTATTCCTAGGAGACTATCATCATATTCTAGGAATCTAGCATCACGAAGAGCTAAGAGTACTGAGGCGTTGAGACCAGCACCACCTAATGGATTAATGGCTACTTGGACTAATCCTATGTGGATGAAATTGGCTCCATAATCTTTATGTTTCTTAATTGCTTTACTAGTGAGTAACTGGCATTTTTCATGTTCTCTGGATAAGGAGTAGATTTGTTTTACTGTTTTAACTATGTAGTTACTAAGAAATGTTGACTTAAAGAAACTAGTTTTGTAGATTTCTCTTGTTCGAATACGAGGAATATTCCAATCACTAAAATCTAAACTAAGATCTTCAACCTAGTATTCTTCTTCATTGATTATGTTTGGAACTGGGGGAGGTAAGTTAGTTCTGGATCTAGAATTCATAGAAGAGGAAGACCTGAATAACTTATTCATGGTTACTTAACTCAAACTATCCAAGGATGGTTGACTGGATAAAACATACTATCTTTATGATTCTCTCAAAGTGGTATCTAATTCCTATCCACGCACTCATCCGCCCATGCCGTCCCGCTCAGGCCTCTCTTGGGTCTTACTGTTTGGCTCGGGTCTTATTGTTTGGATCTGGACTTATAAGAAGGAGTAAGAGTACAACAATATGAGAATCAATAAACATAATGATTTAAACAAAACAATCAAACAAGATAGGCAAGAAAGAAGACACAGAATAGATTATACAAATAACCACTAAATGGCTCTGATACCAAAGGGAAGGGAAGCGCACATTAACTTAAAACAAGTAAAGCGTTAAAATAGTATACACCAAACATATATATATAAAACAGAATAAATTAATTAAGGCGGTGTATAACCGACCAAGATTATATATATATATATAGGAGTAGAATAACTGAAATCAAACTGATATTAAAACAGAAAGTAATTACAAAAGATTACAATAACTGAATATTAATAAAATAACTTACAAACTGATATGTTACTGGTAGAAGGTTGTATACAGCATACTGGATGTATTACAACAGAAGAAGGAAACTGAATTGAATATTACAAACTATGAAAGCTGAAGCCTGAATTCTCTCTGAAACGAAGCCTGAATGAAGCCTAATGAGCAATGGGACTGACCACTGCATTTATAGGCGAGGCTGGAGACATTTGAGGCGTAATTTTCGGCTTTCAAAAAGTAACTTTTAACTTTTCGGACTGCTTTTAACTGTTGGTAAATAGTGAGTTACTGTTCCTATCGTTTGTGCCAACGGTTATTGTAGATGAATAGTTCTTTGTCGGGAATAGTGATTCTGCCGACAGTTACTGTAGATATATATATATATATATATATATATATATATATATCATGGACATAACTGACATTTTTAAAAGAACACATTTAACTTTTAAATTAATATTATATTATAAAGGTCATTTTTGTCAATTCGTAATAACTTAACGGTTTTGTCACAAAAAGGGGGAAATGTGATAGTTTTTGTTAGTTTAGGAGGTTTTTTAATAATTGAAGGGGTTATATGTTGTTTTTGTAAACAATATGGGGGTTTTATGATTTTAACCTATATACTCATGAAGAGGATTAATGTTATAACGAGAGTTATTTCCCATATCGGATCCAGATGGGCAGTGAAATAGGTATACATGAGTTTTGTGCTATGAAGCACGGACATGGGATACGGGTACGATACGACACGGATTCGGCGACATGGCAAATTTCAAAACAATAGGAAATTCACAGTACCATATATCTATAAAATTATATCACGGTGAGAATACGCCTATAAAATTTTATATATATATATATATATAATTATATATTCAAAATTCACAGTACCACATATCTAACCTCCCCAAAAAAATACTGCAATAAAAGAAATATTTCAATTAACTAAGAACAAAGCAAAGTTATCAACAATTTTACAGTTTACATTTTACACACATCCACAAGTATAATTTTTCTGATTTCTCTCTGTTTTTCTTGCTGCGGTCTAAAATTTATTTAATTTCAGTACTAAAATGAATAAATCAAATAAAAAAATAAACATAATGGAATCATAAAATTTAATAAAAGTAGAAGTTCAGAATCTCATACAAAAGAGTCAAAAGAGTTAAACTTCTAAAATTACATTAGGTATGCCATTTTTCTTATAAAAAAAAATTACAAAATATACCGCGCTGTGTCCGGTACGTGTCCTCCGCGGGTCCTAGCCTTGTCCACCCCGCGACCAATAAAAAATAATTTTTGGTCACTTCACAGAAGTGTCGGACACTAGTACGGGATCCCTATGAGGGATGTCCGTGCTTCATAGGTTTTGTGTTAGCCTCACCTAATAGCTTAAATTTTTGGATCCAATGTCATGCCAAGTGTCCAACGCGGAGGCGTCCGGGCAGACCTGTTAATAGATCGAATTCTTATTGGAACCCAACCCGAATCCGACTTGAGCCATTAGCAATCTGAATCCGATAATTCTTTAACTAAACAAACTGGATATGGATTTTTGTCAATCTGATCCAAAATAAAATTTATATAATATGTTAAATATAGTGTGTGTGTGTGTGTGTGTGTTATATATTTACATATTATAAAAATATTCTTATTATTATTTTCTCCTCTTCTTCTTTCCTCTCTTTTTATTACCCATTTTTCTTCTAAATTTTATTTGTCCTTTGTTTTCTATTATTATTTTTTTTAATGATTGTTTTTTTATTCTCTTTTGACATTATTATTATTTTTTTAATACACCCTTATCAGATCGAATATCCATTTAATAATAAATTGGATATGGATTCATTTACGAAATATCCGTCATATTATTGAAACGGATCAGGTAAAGTATTTATCGGATTCGAATTGGGTCAGGCCAGATCCGGTCCTAATCCGATCTGTTTATAACTCTACATCTGAATGAGAACCCTCGAGTAGGCAGGGTGCCCAGATCTAGAGATGGCAAATTGACAATTTGTACTCCCCGCCCATCCCACCCTAAATGACACGGGTATGGAAACCATTTATGTATTGTAGGGACGGGTATGGATTTAGATTTTAAACCTATCGCGAGTTATTGGCGGGTATGGGTTTTAAGAAACACCCGCCCCGCTCTTTATAATTTTTAAATTTTTTTAAAATATAGATATATGTATACAAGTGCTATAAATGAATACACATTATTGTGTTGATATATATATATATATATATATATATATATATATATATATATATCATTATTTACTGTATATTTACATTATGTTGAATTTATAATTTTTATCAATTTATTTATATAGGTAACAACAAAAAAAAAAAAAAAAAAAAAAAAATTGTAAATGGGTAGGGGCGGGCATGGGTACGGGTACACTAATCTCCTAATAATGCGGGTATGAATTGTAAAATTTAAACTCGTTTGTATGAGACGGGTTTGGATTTGTCCATAATTAAACGGGGTGGGTACGGATTTAGGCAAACGCTCTCTATACCCGCCTTGTTGCTATTTCTAGCTCGATCGCATCGAAGGTGTTGTGAGTTCGGTTGAGGAAGAGTGTAACGAGGGGAGTCATGTCTAACATCGGATTCAGATAGGAAGTGAAATAGATATACATGGGTTATTGGTGTCAGCCCATCTAATAATTTAAATTTTTTAATTGAATTGCGAAATACCCTAATCATTATAATTAGCTTGTTGTTGTGTCAAAAGACAAAAATGATCCCATCAATGGTATTATTT